TTGAGGCTCAAGGGTGAGAACCCCCTGCCCCCACCACAGTGGCTCTCTCTTGGCCCCACCTCCTTTCCCTTGCCCATGGCAGCAGGGGCAGGGTGATCAGAAAGAACTCCCTGCTGGGTAAGAGGGGGGCTGGCTTTTGGTGTGTGCTAATCCCAGGCCTGAGGTCTTCAGAGGGACCTGGGGAACTTCAAGGAGCGGAAGGCAAAGCTGTACTGGAGACGAGCTCATTAGCCAGCGCCCCCACCCCCACGAGGAGGAGGGCGGGCGGCCCAGGGAGCGTGGCAGCCGAGGCGGCAGAGAAAAGGCTGTCACTGTCCTTTCTTCCTTTTGGTACAAGCGTCTCCCTGAGCCGACGATTCTCCCGCAGTGACACCTCTCACGGGCGCTAATGAGATCCGTGTCACAGAGCTAATGCGCTCTGACTGGACTCCTCACAGACACCCCACTCCTTCAGGGGAGACCACAGGCCAGTACTACCCCACTGGGGCCAGGCACCCACCCTGCCTCCTGCTGGCCCAGCTCCCTTGGCAAACCGTGCTGGGCAACAAGCTCCTGAGACAGTCCTCTTGGTGTCTGGCCATCCTGCCTTACCATGAGCCTCAGAGGGACCCTCCTCAGTCCCTGAGCAGAGGCACTAAGCAACCAGGGCAGCACCACTCAGCTGGGCATCAGGGAAGGTTCCGGTTATTCTCCCAGCAGTGAAACCAGCAGTGTGTGGGGCCTCCACGTCCCAACAGGTGCGATTTACTGACATTTCCTGCACGGATTTCCAACGAGAAAGAAGGGAAGGAGGCCCGGGTCCTGCCCTTAGAGAGGTCAAGTATGTAGGGCCTGATCACTACCCCCAACAAATTGTAATCGGGGCCCAAGGGTGTATTCTGTACACTCGAGCTGGGAGGGCCAGGCGAGATTCCCAGAGGAGGTGGTCCCTGGAAGATGGGCAGGATTTTCCTGGGCCAAGAGGTAGAGAGCAAACGCAAATCACAGAGTGAGAACTGTTGGGTCAGCAGGAGGTCAGAAGCCAGCAGCTGCAGGGCCCTGGCTCTGAGGGCGACTGGAGGAGGGGTGGAGGGGTGACAACGCCTCCTTTCCTTTCCTCCTCAGTTGTTGCTACGGAAGCTTTGTCGAGGCCTGCATCTTTCCCATGACACGGAGGGAGGTGAGGGTTGTGAGCTTGTTTTCTTCCTCATCGCCTCTGCTGGGAGCACAAAGCCCGGCACCATCAAGGTGCTTCCTCATTCAGCACAGTGGTAAGAACACAGGCTTTGTGCTCAGAGGGCCCTGGGTTTGAATCCCGGCTCCTCAGTTCAACTGGCTGTGAGACCTCAGGCCAGTCACTTAACTGAGCCCCAGCTTCCTGATCCATAAAACGGGAATGACGATGCCTGCCTGCAGAAGGCTGGTGTGAAAGTGAAATTAGTTATTATAAAGTGCCCCCACAGCATGTGAGGGCCTTGCTGACCCTTTGCTGAAATCAAAGAAGGACCACTCAGCAGTCCCGTGGAGGCTGCCCTGCTGAGGAAGCTGCCCGAGCCCACTGCAACAGCCATGGCTGCCAGCAGTTACACACACGTGCAGTCTCTCCTCACCCACAGCCTGCTCCACACCACCTGTTCAGCAGGCTCCCGAGGAGGAAGCGTCCCTCCCCTAAGAGACCATGCTCACAGGCCCTGATGGCCCCTTTCTGCCCGCAGCCCCATCCCTGAACCCTGCCTCTCCCTCAGTCCCCAGGGCCAAGCCATCACCCCATCCTGGTGATTGTACCTGTGAGCTCTGTGGGGGCAGGGGACTGTGTCATCTTCACCAATACGTTTCTAGCACCTACCACAGTTCCTGAAACACAGTAGGTGCAAGGTAAACGTTCACTGAACGAGTCCCCTGCCTCCACTCACAGCCATTGCCAGCTCTGAATTAACCATCACTTCTCATGTACCTTACTGTGCCCTTGTGGCCTCCTTTTCTGCAGTTTCTCCTCTCTAGTCCTCCCAGTACAAATGGTTCAGACTGCTCTGACTGAAGCCCAACTCGGACCAGTTCACTTCTCTGCCCAAACACTCCCACGGCTCCCCCTCAAACAGCTCAGCCACGTACATCCATTGCAGCGGGCCCTCTCCCCGCTACCGCCAGTCAGCTCGGACTCGAGCATGCCTGCCCCCTTACTCTCTCCACACCTCCACCACCCCAGTGCTCAGCAAGAGTCCCCACCAGGTAGGCCCAACAAGCTCCCCCTGCCACTCATACCTTAGAAAGATGCTCAGGAGATCCCTCTGGGGCCTAGGGTCATTAGTGATTTGCACTGCCCCCCATGGCATTGTGGGAGAACCAAGCAGATCCTGGGGATAGCTAAGCTGTGGGATCTGCAGAACCCTTCCCCAGCATCACCAATGCCGCCTCACCCCCCGCCAAGATACATACCACTCCCCATGGCTGGCAGCTCCTCACACAGTTAATTAGTACCATGTCACTGAGGACCAGCCTGAGTGGCCAGTGACAGGAGCTGACTCCTGACCCCAGGGCTGGGAAACAGTCCACATCAAACTCTTACAGCACGACCCTTTTAGCACGCACAGTAACGCGGGGCACCGCCAGCTGAAGCTCATTAAAGCTGTCTCTTTGGCACGAGGGCCATTAACCTCACTGCTCAAAACCCACACCTCCCCTCCCCGCCTCTCCCAGCCTAATTAATGCCCTGCATCCTTCCTCCCTTCCAAGCACCCTCACCCACCCCTCAGAGCCAGCCAGGAGGGTGCTCTCACCCACACTTTAGAGCCAGCCAGGAGGGTGCTCTGACCCACCCCTCAAGAGCCAGCCGGGAGCTGGCAGGGCAGCCCTCTTCATTCCAAGATACAAAGACCAGGTGCCAGGAACCCCCAGTGCCCTGGGGAGGCTCTGGTGTTGGCAGGGCACCCAACTCAAGGTTGTGCAGGGTGCATTAACCCAGTCTCGCTGGTCCCTCCCACCAGCTAGACTCAATTTCTGGCAGCTCCTCCTCCCCAGGGCCAGTGCAAGTCTTCTCGCTGGTCCATGTTCTCTGGTCCCTTCCTTTCCCATCACTTTCACTGATTTCACTCGTTCATTCACCCACCCACAGCACTTGCTGGGCACCTACTTAGAACTAGTTTGTGCTGCACAAATGGCCTCACTGATTCAGAAGAGCTCTGACCATGTGGTTCTCACTAACAAACTTCCTCTGTCACACCCTTTAACCTGGCATTCGAGGCCTGCTTATTTCCCTGTTTACCTTCTAGCTGTTCCCTAACCCAAATGTCCCACTCCAGTCCCAGGAAACTACTTGCAGACGTCTGAACTTGTCCTCTCAACATGCTGGGCCTCCTCATGCCCTTGTGCTTTTGTACACACAGTCCCCCTAAGTAGAAACCCTTCCCCCACTTTTCTGCCTAGCAAACTCCTATTCATCCTTTAAGGATCCCCTGACTCAAGTGTCCTCTTCTCTAGGAAACTTCCTGCTGACTTCTCAGGCATATGACCTTGCTATACTTGGAGTCTCCTCTAGGTTGTAAGGAATAGCTCCTATAGGAGGGAACTGCAGTTGCTGTGGGGTACTCCCAATTCCCCACCCCCAATTCCCCAGGCCAACTGACCACTTCCTCTTTCCCCCTGGACCTCAGGAGAGCCTTGGGGTGTCCCAAGAAGAACGATATGGGGCATCCCTGAAGTCAGTGAAATGTAAATGAAGTAGAAGCTACTTTGGCAACTGAGGACAGGGGAAACCTCCCTTGGGGCAGCCCAGATGTTTCTATAACGGCCCTTAGTAACCTGGGTGGCAACCACCCAGTTCAGTCTCTGTCTCCTCCCAGGATGTGAGCTCCCTGAGGACAGGAACTTCCTCTCACATGCCCAGCACCCACTGGGCACCAGTGATGTCTGTGGAAAGGATGAGGGGCTAGTCTGTAGCAGGTGACTGGATCATGGTGTATCTTGCCAGTCCCCTCCCCCCCACACGTCCCCAAAGGTGCACAGGTTATGATAATATCATAGGGCCACCCAGAAATACCCCCCGCTCCTCCCCGCTGGGAACAAAGCCTATGCCTGTCAAGTACCCTGCTTGAAAGCATTTGCATGCACATGTGTGCATACGCACACAAAATAAGATATACAGAAACAAGCAGACACACTTTCTGATGGATATACACACAAGCTGATGGTTGCTTCTACAGACAGACACGTGCCCTCAGGAAAATGTATACAGATATATTGTTACACACACACACGCATCCCTCAGATATACACATACATGGACACATATATACTCTTAAATGGACACACAGAGACATTCAGCCGAAGGTGTCAGACACACACACAATCATAGACAGACACATATGTATACTGATATATCAGAAGCTAGCAGAGCCTCTAGTGTCTAGAACCACAGCCACTCCAGCCTCCTCCCAAGCAGGAATCCCCCTGAGGGTGCACCTCCAGGTGGTACCCCAAGTGGCCCCTCCCAACCCAGGCACCGCTCAATGGAGGCTGCTGCTCCTGCGGGGGCGTCAATACCCTGTGGATGGAGCCATCGGTCAGAAGGACCCCAACTAATTAAAAGCTGGTGAGGTTTAAATAATTCATCTCCTTAACTCCCATTGATCGCCCAGTTTAGTGGCCACAGACTTGAAACAATATTAAACAGCCTTCTCCAGCTCCACGGGGAGTGGATAAGCTGAAATATGCCCAACCCTCTGAGGACATCACCCACCAGAGTTGCAGCCAGGAGTGGGGGTACTTTGGCCTGAATCCAAGGCTACTTGTGACCCACCCAAAGCCCAGACTCCAGCCTCCTCCTAAATGTTGTTCTGAGAGATCTTTTCCAATGGTCTGGTTCCACTCTCCCCTCACTCCACCCCACTTCCCCGCTCCCCCCAGCTATGGAGAGTGCCCTGTTAGAGCACTGCATAAGCCACAGAACCCCTGTGTGGCAGGGAACTAGGGCATGCGGGCAAGGGACTGACCGAGCTGCCAAGGGGACATGTGGAGGGACTGACCAATGCCGCTGTGGGGCCGGCCTATGTGTTGCAGGCTGAGGCCCTTGTTCATGTCTAGAAGTCCATTCTTGGGCCAGCAGCCCATGGCGAAGCTGTAAGCCTGGAAGACAGGAGGCAAGAGTGGTTAACAGAGGCCCTGACCCCTGCACCAACCCCATCACTCACCAACAGCCCTCCCCCCCAAAATCTTCTCACTAGGCGTTTACTCTCATCATGCCACTTTCTGAGGGTCCCCTTTCCACCAGGGTCCCCCACCAGAAAGCCCCCTTCCTCCTCTAGAGCTCCCTTCTCCTAGGTATCTCCCCATCAGAGACCCCCAGCCCTCACTGGGTGTCCCCTCACCAGGCTCCTCTCTAGAGAGCTCCCACTTGCTAAGACTCTCCTTATCAGGATGCCTCCTCTCATCAGAACACCCCTTCACCAGCCACCCCTCCTTAGATTCCCCCTTTCCAGAGTCCCAGCACTCTGCTGGGCCCTTCCCCACAGTATTACTGGTCACCAAGACTGGTGCTGGGAAGGACTTGGAGAGCAATGCATCCAGACTTCACTCCACAGATAGAAACTGAAGTGAGAGGGGGCCAACCACCTGCCTGTGGTCAAGTTGCTTTTGACCCGGAGGCAGGTCAGGCTGTGGAAAGCTGAGTGTCATGTGGGGGCTCAACTGAGGAGGGGTAAGGTCACCTGGTCAACTCAAGCAGCTGTGAGGGGAGCACAGGGAGAGAGAGAGATAGAGGGATGGGGGAGGGAGGGAGGGAGGGAGAGGGAGAGAGGGAGTGTGTGTGTATGTTGTGGGGAGCAGATCTCCGTTGAAGGTCAAGTGCTCACTTATGCATATTCAAAGCGGCCACCCATCGATCTGTACTTAATTGTTTTCCTAGGCTGGGGAAGGAAGTGCTGGGGGCATCGATCTGCTCAGGCCCCCAGCACTCCATTGCCCTCTTCCATCCCCTACTAGCGCCACCTGGCTGCCACCAACCTCCACGGTGGGGGGGCACGTGGCAGGATAGGGATGGCACCTTCTCTTACAGTGCCTTACAGCCATGACAACCTGATGTCACAGATGAGGAAACTGAGGCCCAGAAAGAAGAGACTTAAGAGGGTTAGAATGCTATTAAGTGGCCCGACAGGGATTTAATTCCTGTTCAGCCTGCTAGCAGAGTCCCAGGCTTCTAACAGTGGGCTTGTATACCTAGTTGACCCTTCAAACATAACCCATCCCCTCACCTTAGAAGTCCCCAAACACCAGGCTGCCCTTCTCCCAGTGGCAGGAAGGCGACAGTGTACAGGGCAGTGGTCAGTGGGAATGAAGCTAGGGTGAGTTCCTAGAAGTTGGATGGTGAGTCCACTGATGGAACTAAAGTGACTGTCAGCTGTGGTCAGATGGGCACCGCAGTGCCCCCACCCATCACTGGGCCCAGGAGGTCCCCATCCCACCACAGACTCCCTCACAGGGGAGAATGCTCAGCACGGGGTCAGAAACAAAAGACAGGAGGCTGGACACACAGTCTGTACCAGAGCCAAGGGGCTGGGCAGAGGGCTAGTACCCTTCCTTCCCAGCTGCAGGAATCAAGCCTCAGCCCTGCAGGCACTGGGAGGCGAGGAGCCAGAGAAGTTCAACCTTAGCACCCTCCAAAGCCATTTTCCTTGACCACAGAGGTACCAGCCACAGCCCAGCTTCCCAGCCAACCCTCCCACCCTTTCTCAGGCCACAGCTGTACCCACAACCTGGGGGCTGAGTGTGAGGCTCCAGGACAGGGGAGAGGACGCTGCCTTCGAACCAGGGCAGGGACCAGGGACGCAGGCAGCAGGGAAAGCCGCCAGTGGGTGGTGCACAGCTGGAGGAGCTGCTGAGCGTGGTCAGGGCCGAGGCTGGAGCGCAGTGGGCCAGAGAGCAGTGGCGGGCCGGCTTTCAAGTACTTGAAAATCACTTACAAAGGCCGGATTAACGATCAGAAATTCCATTTAATAGGACAAATAAAGAAATAACAATCTACTCTATCAGCCTGGAGAAGGCGAGCTGGAGGGGTTTTTTTCCCCCTCTAAAAAGGAAAGAGGGAAGGAAGGGGGAAAAAAGAAGGATAATGTGTGTTTACTCAAGCAAAGAAAAAAATATTTAAGTGATGTCGGGGAGAAGATTGCAGTAACTAGTGAAGAATAACATCGTCTACTTTGCTGTCAAATCACACCCGAATTTCAGTAATAGATTCTCGGCTGACACTCAATTCAATTCGAAGGTGATCCTGCTTTATCCCAGCCCATCAAATATTAAACACTTGCATTAGCAGGTGCTGCCGCTTCCCGGCTTAAAGTGGCGGGCGGCAGGGCTGCCGAGGCCCCTCTGCTCTGCTCGCGGCTCGGGGACAGGGCAGCTCAACGTTATCTGCACGTCATCCTGAGTCTTATCGCAGCTAAGCGGGAAGACCACTTCAGATAACATTAGACGCTTGCCCCCACACATCACCATGATTAGATTATTATTATAATTATGACTCCCCAAGATCTTCCCCAGACTGGGATCTGTGGAAAGGGGTGGAGGGCAGCAGAGCCCAGGAGGGCCAGGCTGAGACTGGCTGGACCAGGGCAAGCCAGAACCCACGGCAAGAAAGCAGAGGGACCAGGCAAGGCGGCAACCCTGGTCCCGCCTGACGGATGCCTTTCAGGAAGGGCAGTCTAGCTTGTCAGAGCGAGGGTGAGATGAATTGGCATCTCCACCGTGGCCGCGGGTGTCATGCCGCACAGTTTCACATTCCCAGATAAGGCGTCATAACCGATTGCTGCCGTGACATGGCCTCATCCAGCACCTCCTCCGGGGGTGCACGTGCACAGGGGTCTGCCAAGCTCCTAATAAGAGGGATTTAATTTTTACAAATGCTGCTTCCAGCGGGGCCTTCACGTACCAGCCAAAGTCCAAAATGATATTAAAAACGGTTAATTAAAACTGCTCTCCTTCAGCCTGGGCTCTCTCCCTGCTGTCCCTGCTGAGAGCCCTAGCATGTCTGCCCCAGGTACTGCACACACCCCGCACAGCTGAACCTTCAGACGTGGCCACCCGCCTCGGAGAGCCCCCCGAGGCACGGTACCAGGGCACAGCATGGCAAGCTCCCCCAACTCCTGCCATCTCGGGTACCCCTCAGGCACAGCCAGTGGACCCAGGGAGCCACCCAGAGAACACAGGGTCCTACAGCAATCTGTGCTCCTACCATGTGGGCTCTGGATCCTCGCACCTGCTGCCCCTCTACGCCTGTACCCACACGCCCACTGCCTCCAGCACTCACTTCTAAAGCCCCCTCCCCACCCCCCAGAAATATACACCATTAAGAGAGCATACCCACACAGGCACCAAACTCTCCCTCAGGTTCCTCGGCCCATCCTTCCATTCCCCACTCCCTCCAGACGTCCTCCCTAAGAGATTACATCTGCCTACGAATCTTAGCAGAGGCTTCCTGGGAGTCCAGCTCAGGGCAAGGTGATGTGGGCTATGTCTCAGAGATTCTGGCTGAGAAGTCAAGGCTGGGACCCAGGGAGCCATCAGAGCAAGAGGATCAGGGAGGCTGTCTCCTGTGGGTGCCCACAAGGACAGTGGAGACAAACAGGCCCATGTAGGGTGGGTGGTGGCTAGGAAAGCTTCTTGGAGGGAATGGTACTGGAGGACACCAGGCAGAAGACACAGCAAGGACAAAGGAGAACACAGGAGCAAGCTTGGTGAAAACACGGGCAAGGGCTTGGGTGTAGCGGGGGCAGCCAACGTGGATGGAAAGAGCCATATCTTGAGGTGCTGCCTCCCAGCTCTGTGCAACACTGGCATCAATCAAGGGCCCTTATTATCATCTACCCCATTTCTCCCACCTGCCTCCTATCCCTGCTCTCTCCCTCTCTCCTGCTAGCATGTGCGGTGTGGGGGTAAGGGACCCAGGAGCTTTCTGACTTTGATCAGTGTGGGACAGGAATCTGTTTTAAGAGCTCTCGCCAAGAGCCTGTGCCTGAGCCCCTTTCTCACGCTGGTTCTAAGTCTCTGGGTGCCACTTGTCCAACTGCACCTCTCTCAGCCATCAGGGCCCTCCTGCCCAGCTGTGGCTTCCTGACCAGAGAGTGGGGCAGGTGGGAAGATGACTGAGGAACCCCCGAGTCCTACCCAGGGCAGGTGGAGTTGGGATGAGAGATGCTGGGTCTACCAAACCACACCATCCCAGCCCTGTGCCAGGCAGGCACACACACTTCCCTTCCCCTGGGCTGCTGTAATTTCCATGCGTGGGGAAGCAGGTGCTGAGCTGCTCCCCGCTGGCTCTCCCGTCTCGTGGCTCTGCCTGCCTTGGCTGCTGCCCCATTAGCTTAGTGGCCAGCCATCTGCGACGGGCCTGCCGCACAGCCCTGCTGTAGGCGCGGCGGGTGGCCCCCTGTGTAACAGGGAGCTTTGCCATTAGCGCCTTTAATATTCTGACACCTCAGCACAGCCTGCTATTACATGCAAACGCTGATCGCCCTGTGAAATTACATTGCTGGGCCCGCGAAATGGAATCGTGTATAATCAGCCTCCTCCATGCACTGTCAGTCCCATCACAAACACGGCGCCCGGCGGCTTACGGGGGCTTAGCAGCTGCGACAAGTGTATTGGGTTTAATAGATGAAGTAGCCCTCATCGGTAGCAGCATCAGATCCTTCGAAGAGGAAAGAAGAGGCATCGACAGCTGCTAGGGTGTCTCTGCCCACCCATTATCTACCTACCAGGGCCCTCAGAGTGAGGTGGACACAGAGTGGGCAGGGCAGTGGTCGGGGCTAGAACCCAGCTCAGACTGCAGACAGAAGCACAGACTGCTCTGCAACTTCTAGAAAACCCAGAGCTTCCAAGCCGGCACCAGCACATCTGACCCATCCAGTCTCCCCACGAGATGGGGAGGAGCAGGCCTTTAACCAGACCTCTGGGTGACTTGTCACCCTGTGGACACAAGGCTGATGGGCCATTTCCCAAGACAAGGAACCAAATCAAATCACCTGCCATTCCCATAAATACCCAACAGACGAAGCTATAAAGGTGATAATCTGGCGGATGGGGGAGAGCAAGTTTGACAGACGTAACTACTCCCTAACCTTTTATCGAATTGG